CTGTTTCAAATTTTAACTGGACCCCGTGTAGCAGTTCATATGTATGATTGTGTAAGGTGCACCAGAATGCTAGAGTTTAGCCACTTAAAATTCACTTTTAGTCCTGTCCTCCTCTATGCTGTCCTCCCCCTTTCTAGCCTGGTTCTTTTTCTTAAGGTAAGTTCCTTTGTTAGCCCAAGACTCTCTGTATCAGTTTGAGGTGTTACAAAATCCCATCATTTTAAAGTCTGCAACATCACGACATTGCCAAAGTCCACAGTATTTCCAGTGTGATGTTGCAAAGGCAGTAGTGTTCCAGGTAAGCACTGAAGTAGAGGAGCAGTCAAAAGAAAAGTTTATTGGGAAGCAAAATAAAAATTATTCCAGTGTTCAAGAACACGAATCTCTGAATATAACTTGACAACAATGTGATCATATTCATATAAATTGGTTGGACGTAAAAGTAAAAAAAAACTAAAACATACTGAGTGCAGCTGAACTTTGGAAGAAACTCTGATTTGTATTTGCCAACATCTTACTGAAAAAAGGGAAATTGTTTGATCTGTCCTGAACTTCAAAACAACTTAAAAATCTCACCCTTGCAAGAAGACATGCTTTGCCTAAAGTTTCACATTGTTGCTAGTCTGGGGAATTTAACCCTTAAAATTAATAGCAGAACATTGCTTTCAGTGTAATGATTCAGTGCAGTGCTGTGAGTATTCACTCATGTGACAGACCTTGCTTCTCACACTCACTGAATTGTTATTGCTAAATTAAATACACACTTCTGCAATTCATGCAGGACTGTTCTAGTGGTACTTTTGCAGGATTTGCAATAGGAAGACAATTATAATGGTGAGGTTTCAGTCTCACATGGACAAAACTGGAGCTTAATCTTAAAAAATTCCCCAGTAATATCTGCTTATATACTTGCATTATGTTCTCCAAAACATGACTTTCAGAAATACAGTAATAATTTTTAATCCAGTGGTGCAGCTTTCTTGAACAGTCTCTGAGTACTGAAGGTGATCTCTCACTAACCTCTTTCCTGTTTCCCCGCAGCAGTATTTTTTAAAATATTGTTATGCAGTCATGTCTGTTTTAATTGTTATATTGTCATTTTGATTTTGATGTGAGCCCGTCTTTTTCAGCTTCTCAAATACTGTGGGACTCCAGCAATTCAAGTATGACTGTAGGCTCTCAAAATTTTATTATTATATTAGTAATTTTACATTAAAGGGAGTGGCGTGTCTTGACCTAGACAGAGCTGTAGCTGTTCTATCATCATGTGCCTGCTTACTCACCCACTCTCCCTTCCAAAAATGCATCTTTCATCCCCATGTTAATATTCCTGATGTGAAAGAAACATTTCTGCCTGTGGTTGGTGATAATCCATCATCTGCTTGTGGTCATTTACCCTGGAGCTGGGGAGACCAATAGTGCCTTTACAAAACCAAGGAAGAACTGTTTGGAAAAGTAACAGCTTATGTGAAGTTGTTGTTTATTTGGATGGCTGTGCCACAGGAATGGAACAGAAACCTTCTGAAACCCCTCTGATTATTGAGATCCTATTTACATTGCTGCTCCCCCCAGGGGAAAGCTGGGATCAAAAAAGGGGAACAGAGCTCTGAGATGCTCTTCTGCACATGTGCTCCTGTGCTGCACTGAAGGAATGCTATCAAGTATTAAGTTGATTGTGGAAGAGGTTTAATGACCAGTTCACAGACCCACTTCATTTATTCAGAAGTCACTGATAGAATAGAAATTGTTTTTGAAGTGTTCAATTTCCTCATGCCCCAGGGCATGGCGAGAGGGTGGACACTGTCCCTGTGGAAGAATTTCTTGGCTGAAGCATGATCACAGTATCTAGTGACCTCTAACTAGAGGAATCTGGGAATCTAGTAGCCTTGATGGATATTTAACTAGATGTGTTTCCTTTGAATCCCTGGGCTGTTTTTCATTTACATTTGCATGGGCTTTTCTCTGAGTCTGTATTTGCAAGAAGTAGAATGCTTCCTTGCCTTTGGAGCAGAATGCCAGAGGAAGCTTCTCTTGCCTCTACTCTGTGCTTCAGGGCTGCAAGGCAAAATAATTAGTTCCACACAACTAAGAATAAATCACCCAAGTTGAAACATGATAGTGCCTGACAACTGGTAATGTTGGAAAAATATTCCAGTAAATCATTATTGATGGGAAAATCAGTGTGCAGAGCAGATGATGCCAGTGTAGCCTTGTGTAGCTTTAAACTAAGGATCATGTTGCATAGATTGCTGGCTTTACCCTGCAAAATAAGTAAATATGGCAAGAAAAAAAGATTGTTGATAATTAAAAATAGTGCATACTTTTCATTTTTATTTTTTGGATTTTTTAAGAAATATGGTACAGTAATATATACATACGTATTACTATATATAAAGTGTATATATATATATATATATATATAAAAGGAATATATTAGGAATATAGATTCCTTAGGTTTTTGGAACGTTTCTGAGGAGGTTTATCAATCCTTGTGCCTCTCTGTGTTTCACAGGGCTTGGAGAGTCCATTAAGGTTTATTTCATCTTTTCTTGGGTAGCAAAAAGACCCTATTCTGGTTACCTGTTCAATTTTCATCAGTTATTTGAGAATTTGTTTAGAATTGCTTTTTTTTTTTGGTTAGGAATGCATTGTCTGTTCTTTTCTGGAAGGATTCTCAAACGACTTGTGAGGATATAAGAGCAAATTTCATCATTAATTAACTATATGGATAGAGTAGAGACTATTTGCTTTGTTCTTCAGGTTATATCATTGTGGAGAGCCTATACTTATTTGTTCCAGTATTGCAGATTTAGGAGAAAAATGGAATAAAGGTGATTTATTGTTGAGTGTGATTTCATGGGGAAATTTTGCATCTATTATTACAGAAATATTTCAGTTTTGACCCTTAATGCCAGTTGCAGTTTTCTGCAGTGTAAGTGCCAGGTCCTTCAGTTACCTGACCCTGCAAAAGGCTCAGCTGGAGCTACAGTGGGCTTTTAGGTTGTGCCTAGATATGACTGGGAATATTTTGGCATACCTGCTGTTCCCTCAGTGATAACAAGCCTCACCATTCATTGCTTCAGACTGAAAAATTTACATGTAGACTGAAAGAATAGAGAGGTTCACACTTTATACACATCACATTTTTGGTTTGGGTGTTTCATACCAGAGGGTGCAGCTGCAGTGGGGAGGTGCAGCAGTCACACATAGTGCTGTCATCTTACTCTGGCCACAGCAAACAGTGTAATTGAAACATGAAAATGCACACTGGGCTCGTGCAAATAAATGCTTGTGCTACCTTGGTAAGCACCTTAATATGTGCTGAGGCTGAATTATTTGGCTGCCTGTCGTGTGTGGTTTGCTCCCAGCAGAAAGCCACTCTGCACTATCCCCTCTTCAGCCAGCCAGAGCCTTTGGTGAGTGTTCCTCCTCCAGAAGTAAACAGGAGTCTAAGAATAACTCAGCCTCCTTTGTAGTATATTTTCATGGTTAGCTGTCCAAACAGCCAGCCTGTCTAGACAGCTGATGGCACTGGGAGCTGCTGAAGTCAGAAGCAGCCACCCTTGCCATGCTGCCTCCTGGGCAGCCCTGCGTGTGGGCACCAGAACCTTTCAGTCACAGCTGCTGGGGTTCTTTCTGAAGCTCCATGGGCTACAAGTGTGTGCTAACAAGGCATTAAACAACTGATATGAGTGTATTAAAAATATTTTCAATTCTTATAGTTATCTCTGACTGCCATGATATGTCTCTGGTTATGGTTTTTTGATGGCCTTTAATTTTGTTTTGTAGTGTTGTGCCCAAATTCCATAACTTTGAGGTCTAATATTTTTTTCCTAATAGAAACAAATGATTAAGATAAAACCAATCCCCACGTTCTACTGTGTTCCAGGTGTAATTTCAATACAGATAGCAAGGGTAGTGCTGCATGTGTCACAGAGCCATTTGCTGTGTAGTCACAGAAACTGTTTTTCCAGGGTTGAAGAGTACAACCTGATTGCTATATTTCCAGTAACCAAACAGTTGCTCACTGCTGTTCAACAGGCTAAACAAAAGGCTAATTAATGCTTTAGTTTATCATTATGAATGATAGCCTTTGGGGTTGTCTGGTTGCAATATTTCTTACAAATGTTTTTGAAAGAGTGTCTTGCTACAAGTGTTTTCAGTTGAGTACCTTACATGCCACGTGTCCTTCATTAGTTTATAATGTGCATTTGCTGGTGGAAGAAGAACTTGTCAGAACAACACAAAAAGAAAGCAGCTCAGAAATCTGTGTACACTTTACTCCTTTGTTGATAAATTTGTTTTTGACATGTTATCATAATGTTAATGTGTCTGTTTCTTTTGATGTGTATGTATGCATGAAAGGGGGTGGCATTAGGTCTTCTGAGTGTATCAGAGGATATATTCAGAACTCCTAAAGTGATGAAATTCTATACCCACAGAAAACAAGGCTGATACATTTCCCACCCAGGGAGTGGCACTTCATGATACTCCATCACATAGCAAGCCACCATGTAAGATGAACAAGCAACTTGCCAGTGTAGCAAAAAAATACAATGATACCAAAGAAAATAATTAAAATAATACTTCTTCCTCACCAGTTTTTAATTATCAAGTGGTTTTTTTAGTTTACATATGCAATAAGGTTTTTGTCAATTTCTTTCCTTCCATAATGTGTTTCTTTGTTAATGTGTTGATGATCCTTCTGTCACCCAGTGCCCAGCATCCTCAGAAATTTGGAATAATAGCTTCTCTTTATGCTGTTCTTGTGAATACTGTTCAGACTTGCTTGCTCTGTATTTATTCCTGATTGCTGGAAAGTTTACTCATTCCTTGTTATTATTTGATGGGTTTGGTTACATCACTTGATGTTTTGAGGTGGGATTATAAGAACTAGGCTTCGTTTGCTTTAAGAATAATTTTAATCTTTTAATATACCCTAAGATGATTTCGGATGGTTTCCCTTGCTGTTGTCTTAACATTGACTTCTTTCATTCAAGATCGAAAACCTTCAAGAGCAGCTGAGAGACAAGGAGAAGCAGATGAGCAGCTTAAAGGACCGAGTGAAATCCTTGCAGGCTGACACCACCAACACTGACACTGCCTTGACCACGCTGGAAGAAGCGCTGGCAGAAAAAGTGAGTGTGGGAAGTGCTGCAGTTCCTTGGGGAGATCCTGCTGCTGCTGCAAAGGCGCGGTTCCCAATCCCGTTCCTGATCCTGACCCCGTGTTCGTTCCCATTACTGTTCCTGACCCCTTGCCTGATCCTGATCCAGTTCCTGTGCCTGTTTCCCGATCTGTGCCTGTTCCGTGCCTGATCCCATTGCTGTTCCCAGTCTCGTGCCCGTTCCCGATCCCCTGCCTGATCCCGTTCCCCATCCCAATCCTGATCCTGTTCCTGATCCAATCCCCTGCCTGATCCCGTTCCCCATCCCAATCCTGATCCTGTTCCTGATCCAATCCCCTGCCTGATCCCGTTCCCCATCCCAATCCTGATCCTGTTCCTGATCCGATCCCCTGCCCGATCCCGTTCCCCATCCCAATCCTGATTCTGTTCCTGATCCCAACCCCGTGCCCAATCCAGTTCCTGTGCCCATTCCCGATCCCGTTCCCAATCCTGATCCCGTTCCTGTGCCCCATCCCGTTCCCCATCCCATGCCAGATCCCATTCCCCATCCCTTTCCCATTCCCGATCCCGTTGCTGTGCCCAATCCTGTGCCTGATCCCGTTCCCCATCCCTTTCCCGTTCCCATTCCTGATCCTGTTGCTGTGCCCAATCCCGTGCCCGATCCCGTTCCCATTCCCGATCCCGTTCCTGTGCCCCATCCCGTTCCCCGATCCCGTTCCCCATCCTGATCCTGATCGCGTGTCCGATCCCGTCCCATTCCCGATCCCGTTGCTGTGCCCAATCCCGTGCCAGATCCCGTTCCCCATCCCTTTCCCATTCCCGATCCCGTTCCTGTGCCCCATCCCGTTCCCCGATCCCGTTCCCCATCCTGATCCTGATCGCGTGTCCTATCCCGATCCCGTTCCTGTGCCCAATCCCGTTCCCGTGCCCAATCCCGTTCCCGATCCCGTTCCCGGTCCCGTTCCCGTGCCGGGTGCGCGTCCCGGCCGGAGCGGCGGCGGCGGGGCCGTTCCCCGCTAGGGGGCGCTGCAGGACGCGCCGCTGAGGCGGGCGCGGCGGCGTTCCCGGCCTGGGACCGCTGGGATTATCCCGATAATCTGATTTTTTAATGCTCGGTTTTCGGGAGGTAGCCGGCTCAGAGACAGAGTCCCACTCTCTTTTGGTGGCACAGCTTATTGGGCTAACTATATATAGTTTTTTATGATTCCCAGAGGAGCTCCTTTACTCCATCAGGTTCTCTGAACTATGGTTAAATTTAACCTGAGGTTGGGGAATTTGCTTGCATCCTTTCAGAATCCAAGATATCCAAAGCTCCACTGATATCTACTGTACCAAAAAGTTATTTTGTTGTCTTATCTTACTGTATATACCAGTGTCACATAGGTACTACACCCCTTCTTCTCTGAAGAACCACTGATTTAGCTGTACATTTTAGAAAAACAAGATTTAAATAAGTCAGGAAGCAATATGTAGTGCATCCTGATTTAGACTAATTTTGATGATCAGAACCAGGTGAATTGGGTTGCACAGTAACAGCACCATGAACATTCAGAGATCCAGACATTCACAGTATTGAATCCGGTATTCACAGTGCTGGTATTTCACAGCAGTGATTCCATAGTTTTCTCCAGTTTTCTCTTTCTTGAGGATCTTTACAACTGTAAAGAAAAGCAAATGGCAATACACTCCTCCTCACTTCAAGTGTATCAAAGTGTTGTGATAGGAAGCCTCAGGAGCTGAATTGACTAAGAGGGATTTGCCTTTCTTTTGTCAGGAAAAGACCATTGAGCGTTTAAAGGAGCAGCGTGACAGAGATGAACGAGAAAAACAGGAAGAGATCGACAACTACAAGAAAGACATTAAGGACCTGAAAGAAAGAGTCAGCATTTTACAAGGAGATCTCACAGAGAAAGAGGTTGACCAGCAACACGAATCTATTGTGACAGAATTATTTGTTGTCTCTGTTTGTGTTACATTTGAGTTGAAGAAAACTGCTCCTTTATAGTAATTGTCTTTGAACAAAGCTGATGGGTAGAGTACATCATTTGAGAATTTGCAGAGCATCAGTGTTTCAGAACCACCTTTTCAGGGATAGCAGCCATCCCCTTGTTTGCAGCAGTTAATCTTGTTAGTAGTGACTGGCTGCTGGTCAGTCATAGCTCATTGACTGAGCTGTGCTGATAGACAGCAGAAGGCTGGGAACAAGCCTGTCCCTGTCTCAATGTAGGGAGGAAGGAGCAGAGGTGATCAAAGCTGTGCCAAAAGCATGAGGATAATGTTTGTTCCTTTATGCAAACAACACAGCCAGCTCTATAGACTCTTGAGTATTTTTTTGATTAATTAGGTTGATTGTTGGTAATGAGCCAGTTGGCTAGACAAATTACCTTAATTATATGAGAGAAATATAAATGTTCTCTGTTCCTCTCTTGTGTATTTGCAATCTTTTTTCAAAACTCAGTCAAAGTAAAACAACACAAAAATATGTACCCAGAAAGTACTAAGATTTTGTCTACATGGAAATCCGCATTTGACAGGGGGAAAAAAAGTAAATACAAAAATCATTTAGAAAGAAAGAAGTTGAGATGTCTTTTGTAGTAAGATGGCATGAATCAGTTTCACCCCATAGAAGCTGTATGCAGGAATGCTTTCAACTCTCTCAGTGGCTAAACCTGCCAACCAAAAGTGATTTTAAATACAATTTTATTGAAAACCAGTTTTTCTTAAACATGACTGTCACTGGAGCACAAGTTCCAGTTTACAGAATTGTCCATCTTTAAAAACTATTTTGAAATTAATTTAGACAAGGCTTTATTTTGATTCTGAAAGCCTGAATTAATTCAAGCTGTCTTAAGTCAGTGACACAAACAACCTGAAAAAATTGTTTTAAATTAGATCCTGAACATAATGTGACGGGATAGGAGGAAAATAAAGACAGAAGAAACTAACTAACTAGTGCACTTACTTGATAATTATTTCACATCTTTTAATTTAGACATCATTACTGGATCTTAAGGAACATGCTTCATCATTAGCATCATCAGGACTGAAGAAAGATTCAAGACTCAAGACACTGGAAATTGCATTAGAACAGAAAAAGGAAGAATGTTTGAAGATGGAAACACAATTGAAGAAGGTAATCTTAGTGCATGTTTATATATGTGTTATAAGTATACAGATCTAAACACATTGCCCATGTCTATAAAGAAAACTTGGGGTCTTAAGAGCAAATTCTTTTCTTTTCAGCAAGAACCATGAAGGTCCATGCAAACCATATTACAAGCTAAGCCTATCAGAAAGTGACTTTCAGACACTTGTGCTGAGTTTTGATTTCACTTACATGCAGTAACAGTGCTGTTGGCTTTTTTGTTTACAGGTGCTAAGAGTTTGAGGCTTAGTCTGCTTCAGTACAGCTTGTAGCAGCAGTTGTGCCATCAAATTGATGAGAAAATAACAGCTAAACATTTCACATGCCAATTATCAATGCTTATAGGAGTTAATGTGATAAATTCAGGTGCAGGGTTGGCCCTGCCTGGAGGAAAGCAAAAAACAAATGAAAAGAAGATGCCATCCATAAAGTGTGTGATTTTGAGTCATCAGTTCAGAGCTGTTCAGAATTCCTGTTGTGTGGGTGCAGGGTGGGTGTCACTGCACCTGAGAACAGTGTACATGAAACTCTGTACAGGCATATCTAGCCCCATGTTCGTCCTGTTTCATTCTGTCACCAAAATCAGCTGTTGCTCAGCATCAGCAGAGCTCAGTAGCAAGAAAAGGCAGCTGTACACAGGTAATTGGTCTCACAGGCTGCTTTCAGTGGGTATTTCAGAAGACCTGAAGGACCTTTCATTGAATTCCCTGCTATGAATTTCAGGTTCACCTTGTGTTGCTGGTAATGAGTTGACAAATCTATTTTTGTAGCTAAGTTTGCCAGAGGTTGTTAGAGCATCTCCTCATCTAAAGAAACTGGCAATTTTAAATTAAATCACGGTCAGGATGGTTTCAGTTCTACAACCAAAAAAAATTGGTAGCCTACCATTACTTACGTGGGGTAACTTCCAGTTACTCGAGAAAATGTAGTTAACATTCACTTGAATATGTTTTATACCTATAGTAAGTTTACATAATTCTTTAATAACCTTTTTACCCAGCTGTTTTTAATTCTTTAGTGGGTTTTATTGTAGCTTGCACAGAAGCAAAGAATTTTTAAAGGCTTTCACTTTTTAAATGAATTGCAGATATTTATTGAGGCAGTTTGACATTTTCAAGATGAAATAATTATGACAGATAATCCAGCTCCATTTTAAAGCTTCTAAAAACTTGTTTTTACACCTCTGCATTGTTAACAATTGCAAATATCTGTCATAATTAACCTTAAAACTAATGGCTACATAAGAGCATTCATTTAAAAACTGAATTAGAGGTTCGTTTTGTTGAGGTTTATTACATTATCTTAGTGCAGATTTGCATGAGACACATGCAGGAAGGAAGCTCTCATGTAGCTCCTTAAGAGTGAATGGCTAAAAGCTTTTTCTTTTGGGTTCTTCCCTCACAGTTTGAATGGAAATGTGTCTAGCGTCAGTCTTGCTTCCCTTGCTTCCTGTTCCCAGTGAACACTTTGAGTACTTCCAGTCAAATCTGTTAGCCCTAGAAGTTAAGAAGCTGGCAGAAGAGACTGATTTGGACTACTCTTAAGCCATTAAATAAAATAGACTTTGGTAGTCCTTGCAAAAAACTCTTGCTAGCCTTCAAACAGCGAGCCTCAGAGAAATTGTGAACCATGCAAGCTTCCCTTTCTTCTGTAAAGGGGATTTAACTTTACACTAAATAAAATATTAACCAAGCAGCGTGCAAGGATGCTGAAAGTTGTTTTGATACTGGTTTTAGTTCTGTGTCACTCTCCAGTGTCTCACTTGAAGTATCCACTTCTTGTTGCTATTCCTCTTTTCACTAATAAGTGTTTTATATTGGTCTTTGATTTAGCAGCTGAAACTGCAGTGTTTTTCATATTGGGGTTGTTTTTTTCAAATAATAATACCATGGTTATGCAAATTTGTGTGCTATATTCACTGCTTCTGTGCTCAGTTGTCATCCTGCTGCCAGCAGGAGATGCAGTGGGAGATTCTGAAGGCTGAAAGCAGCTCATAAATCCCTGTTGAGTTTACATGGCCTGCTGTCCTGTCTTCGTTTTGGCTCAGATGGAATCATTAGAGGCAAATAACACACAGGAGGTTCTCTCCCTTTTTTTCTGTGAAGTGCTATTATGCTCTGTGGTGGTTTTTCTTTTCTTTAGGAAAATCTTTGTCCAAACTACTATTTTAATGTATTAGTTTTAGTTGTTGTTCTCCAGGATACTCTTTCCCTAGCATTTTCTGTCTTGAATTTCCCAGCCAGTATACTTTGTTTCATTTTGTTTTTCTGATCTGGGAGAGACCAACTAATATTAGATGTTTTTCCAGGAAAGATGAGTGGATTTTTGTCCATCTTCATTTCCAGTGCATAGTTTTTCTCCCTATAGATATACTCCTTATTTTTAGGGAGGAAAAAGAGTCAAAACCATATGTTAATAAACTTCCCCTTGCTGCAGTCGTAGGAACTTTTCACCAGAAAAAGTTAGCAGTGATTCCCTGCCAGGAAAATACCTCTACCTTCAACAGCCTTGCTCAGAGGTTGTTTTTTGTTTGGGGTTTGGTGGTTTTTTTTTGTTGGTGTTTTTTGTTTGTTTGTTTTTTTTTGTTTTTTTTTGTCTGCTGTGGTGTTCTTTCTTCAAATTCAGGAGGATTTTTCTTTCAAAAAACAGGGGGGAAAAAAAGACTTAATGAAGTGTTGATCCAAATTCTGTCTTTCCCAAGAATTAGCCTGGCTAGTCTAATACAGACTCTGCTGCATTTTATTTTGTGAACATGGATTTTCTCCCACAGCTGAAAATATTACTGATAATATTGGTAGATGAGGCTGGTTTTTCTTCTCAGCTGATAATTTATTTTTTTTTAAGAAGGGACAATAAATGATGTATTCAACATAGAAAGAAAAAGGCTGCCAGGGAAATCAGTATTTCTTGTTACAATAAAAGCAAAAAGGAAAATTGTGTTCAGCATTCAGATACTGTCAGTTACTGAATTAGTTTTCTAAACCATTCAGCTGTCTTGAAATTGATACAAAGGAGGCACTAGGAATTAAGGTCCTTCTCAATCTGTGAAACTCATCTGTAAACCCAAACAAATAACTGCATTAAATATATGGGGGCTGGACAAATCTGCTAAACTGAAGTATTAAAGATAAAATTTGGAACTTGCATGAGGGTAACTCTCCATGTTTCTCATGTTCCAGAAGCTGGTTAGTAATGCATGCCAATACCACTAATTAAGATTCTGTCGTCTTAGTAAATTAATGTTGCAGTTATTATTTTAAATTCTTTTCTTGTTGCATGTTTTGTTTTTCTCTCTCACACTGTTCCTATCCCAAATTTTCTCCATCTTTTCCTATCTTCTTTCTCCCTTTAGCACCCTGAAGTTTTATTGAGTCATCCATCCAAGCTAGTAAGTTCCCTGGCAATCTGAGAGGCTGTTGCCAGCACATTTAATTTTTTGTGTTGCATGTGTATTCACCTGTGCTTTTACAGTTGGGCCAACACAGAGTGTATTGGTGAATTCCTTTAGTATAGTGGGAATGGACAGTATGGGTACAAACAAAAAGCGGTGGGATGTCTGACCAGTCATGTTCCAAAAAGCTTTCTGAGATGTTTTCACTGTTTGACTGCCTTGGTCTAACTGCATTTTTGTTTGGACAGCTTAATATCGTGTCTTGTGTTTTGTTTCCCTTTGCTGCTGGTGCTTGAAATGTCCTGTAGCTTTTCTGTCATCTCCATTGTCTGTGCATTTTCAGAGCAAGAAGGTGGAATTTCCATGCGAATCAAGCTTCTTGCTTGAAAGTGTTCTGTAACACTGGGCACATCAGCACATCAAAAATAACAACTAAGTTGCAGCAACTGAAAGATTGCTTAAAATCTTGTGTAACCATTCAGCTCGCTGGTACTATGTCAGTTTGATTTTGGATCCTATTTCCAGCCTCCTGTTTGATGTCAAAGAGCACTCCTGTCAAGGAGTGTTTGTGTAATAATATCTTGACACTGTAAATTACGTAATCCAAGGTGGTTTTCATCAGAGATTTCTTTTGTGGTTCTGTGCATAAAAAATGGTGTTACAGAACTTTAAGGAGTCTGATACCTGTGTTACTCTTGGCAATGTTCAGGGTAAATGGAGTTGTCTGTCCTGACAGTCATTGTCTGAGGGTCAGAGAATTGCTGGGGCTTGCAATTGTTCCATTTTTGTGGCATCCCATATCAGAAATCCTTTAAACCTGGCTAAAATAGTGTCGATAAGGGATTGAGAAAATGAGATATAATACAAAAAGATTGTACTTGGTACAAATAGGCAGAAGAATTTCTGTCAGGAGAGCATATTCTCTACAAAATCTTTAACGGCATGCAAACATTTTGAGACTCGTTATTCTGAAATCAGAACACAGAAGATATTGGAGCAAACTCTATTTTATTCTCCAGTATGATATAGCAAACACACAGGATAAGGTACAAGAGGTTTTGTGAAGGCCAGGTAGGATGGGGTTTTGAGCAGCCTGATCTAGTGGAAGGTGTCCCTGCCCACAGCAGGAGATGATCTTTAGGGACCCTTCCAACCCAAACCATCCTGTGATTCTGTGGTGGCTTTTAATGTTCCATTCTGATGATGGTGTGTGATGATCTCAGCATCATCTCATGTAGTGGAAAGTTGGAGAGGTTTTCTCCCTGATATTCTTACAGCTAAAAAAAAAATAACTTTACCTACTGTACCCCTCCGAGGAAAACTTGTGAAGATAGCACTCATTTTGAAAAGCTAAATATTCAAAATTTATGAAATGGCTAGTGTCACACTGTGTGGTCTTATTTCTCCTTGTGAGGTAATTTATATGGCATTTCATAACTAAATTATAGTCTGCTAGAGTCTTGCTGTTTTCAATATTGCGTGACAAATGCTCCAAGAGTGAGCCAGATATACATGAGAGATGATAATCATTTAGAGAAACAAGATGGTAAAATACTTTTTTAATAGTAGGAAAGCATTGAGTGAATAAGGCAGAATATATTTCCATTTTGCTTTCTCCCCTGCAGAACAGGTTTAATAATGCATCCTCATTTCCCACTGGTGTTGTTAAGGAGTGATTAGTTGTGATTATGACCGGAAGTGTCGTGGTAGGGGGAGACAGACATGACAGGACATCAGGGTTTCATGTAGCAGAGAGTTTTTTGGTGCCCACAGCTCTTTATGTAGGCTATCCCAAAGACTCCACATCCAAACTTGGTTGGCTATGATGGGTTACCACCCAGCTCACCTGGCCAATGCCTACCTGCTCACGTTCATGGTAGGGATTGGCTCTCTGTAGCCAAACCCCTCCTCCTCTTATGAGGCACACAGACCATCTGTACCCCATCATAAGAAAGAAAATTGGGGAATTATTTCTTTTAATGTCATGTTGCAGTTAAGAATAAGCAGCTTATAGAGCCATACACTGAATATCCAAAAACTGGTACTAAATGTCTGTTCTTTACTTGTGTCCTGATTTTGTGAACAGTGGTAGCCTGTGGTCAGGTGAGTAAGGGACAGATCAGAGGAGGCAGGTGGGGGGGTTAAAATACACTCACAAAGAGAAATATCCTGTGGGCATTTCCCTCCTGACTTTGCCCACTCTGTGCTGGGGTGACTCCAAAGAGAGCAGATTAATGTTACTGTTTAATGACATCTCTGGGAACTTGTATCTCTCTGAAGAGATCACTTTTTTAAGTAATGGAAATTGCCTCTCTTGAGGTGTCTTCCTGTCTTTATGATGCTTCATAAACAAAAGAATTTGTTTATTAATTGATTCTAGCTGAGCACTTGCTTATTCAGTGTCAAAAATTTACAGTTCCATTAACAAAGACTAACATGTAGAGATGGTTAAAAGACGGTAAATAACTCTCTGTGACAGACTCAAGTTTACAGTGCATAGTATATCACAGAATTTCCTGAGCCTTTTACTTCCATTACTGCCTTTTTTGAAAAGCTTTTTTACAGTTTGGGCTGTGTAGAGCTTTGGAACTAAAGGAGGAAAAAGCCTGGTTGTTTTTTGAATTTACAATTTTGTTAAAACTAATAAAGGCATGATAGAAGACAGCACAAATGTTTTATCAGTTGAATTTCTGCCTTTGTGTTAGGAAAAGTACAGAAGATGGGTAAAGTGTTTGTCTTTTGCAGTAAATAATCATAATATGTTTTTGTATTTGTGTGTGCATTTACTATTTTTAGGAGACATGAGGCTCCCTTGGAGGTAGGAGGGTGGATTAAAATGGGATTTCAGGTTCTTGGGAACTTTTACTTCATGGCCAAAAGTTCTTGGCAACATTTGTATGTGAAATGTTAAACTGAATTTACTGTCTCAATTCATAGGTAAAAGTAGAAAGTGTTTGCTGTGAGTTATTTGCTGTTTGATTTAGTTAATATTTTAGGAATATTGATTTGGAGTCTTGGTCATAATGTTTGGAATTTTTATTTACATTTTAGAGCCTTTAAATTAGGTCTGTGCTATTGTTATGTTCCCTGTCTCTGGCACACTTTAAGCTGTGTAAGATTATCTTACCTCTTAAAAAAGAGGTTTTTGGCATGAGAAATATCAACTTAGAAATTTCTTTTTAATGTGTTTTGTCTTCCACTCCTCTCCATCTGTAAATATTGGTTATTTCTACGAAACATTGGTCATCTTTGTTTTAGCTGTAGAAGTTGGCTTTGTCAGCTGATTTTCTGTGGAAGCAAGAGAAGTTAGAGTACATTTATTTTGTTGAGGAACAATCACTCTTTCTTATGTTCTGTAGGTACCTGAAGCAGTCACCCCATCACTTACCACTTTCCAGATGGGAAATGAGAGCAGGAAAGCAGAAAGCTGTTAAACCACCTCTTGCTTTATAGCCCCTCTTAAGGACTGGGAGAACATAGCCAGAGTAGTAAACTTAAACTGTTCTCAGCCCTGAACCACTTAGAATTTGAAACTGAATTCACACTGGCAAAGATTAATCCTGATCAGATGAGCTTTGCTAATAAAAGCAGAGCTGAAGAGGGTGCTGCTTTCCAGCTGAAATGGGACTGTTTCTCATGCAGATCAATGCAGAATGAAATGTGTGAGTTTGGCTGTGCTCTTTAATTCACCTGTTTGATCCCACACAGGAGCACGGAGAGCTAATGCCAGGGTCAGAAGTAACAACTGAGGGATTTAAATAGCCTCTAATGGGGTAAACTCAATGGCCTGCAGAGATGAGAAGTGCAGTGCTCCCTTCACCCTCAGCAGGCTGCTTTCTACATTTATATAATTTTTGTCATACTTCTTTTATACGTTATCACATTTGTTTGTAACTATATTAAAATCAACAGATTTACAAATCTTGTGTCAGGCAGAGATGGAAGTCAAACTTATGAAATAGACTTCTTATAGTCTCTTAATACAGGAGAAGCTATTGGTGCATTTGTCACTTTAGATGTTGCTTGTGTTTCAAAAATGAAATTACTACTTATTTGGGAATTTCTGTACACCTTTGGTGGGCGGAGCAAGTTGTATGTAGGTTTTTTTACTGTGAATATTGGAATTCATTATTTGTGTTTAGCTTTTTGGTTAAAGGAAAAAAAAACAAGATTAATTATTTTGCACAGGGAAGGTAGCCAGTTTCATCTGTTCCAGATCTGGATGTGAGTTTGTGGGAAAGCTCTAAATGCATTGGTTTTCTCTCTTATGCAATAAATGAATCCAGTAGGATTTTAGATACGGTCATGAAACACGTATTTTGTACAAAACCCACAAAATGGACCAAAGTCACTCAGTCAGTAACTCACAGTGCAGGAAGTGGTCTCCAGTTTACAGCATATCACATAACGTTCTCTTTGTGTTAGGTGAAAGTATCCATACTTATGTGCATTATATACAAATAACATGTGTTACATGTCTTAACTAATAATTTATGTCCTGTAAATAGCCCTTCAGTTCTATAAGAACCAGACACACTGACTTGTTGGCTAATTCTCTAGAAAAGAAAATTTATTTCCTCTTCTCAGTAGTGTCTCTTGGGTTGTTGTGGAGATGCTTTTATTAGCAGAGTAAAATAAATCAGGACTGTTCTGACAGTCAAATTGCATTAGGTCTTATAACTTCTTTTGAATTAGTGAGTTTAATAAGCCAGGCTAACAGCCTAACTTTGTTTTCTTTGAAAAGAAGTTTCTTGATTATCTGATCATGTATTTTGGATGACTTTAAAGAGCCTGGAGGAGTATTTGTTAAAAGAAAAAATTTGAGATGTTGGAAACATACATGAATCCAGTACAGAAGAACTCAGGCTCTGTCTGGTGAAAACCAGACTTAACTCTATACACCGTGTCTCTTAGGAGAATACTGATGCCCTCTGTTGATGTATAGGTGACCCCAAAAATTCCCAATTCCCTGTATTTGGGAAGGAAAGATTGGAGGGTTTTTTTTGAAATTTAAGGTGTAGTTGAAAAGGAAATGAAATCAAGTATTTCAGATTTCCGCAGGCTGGAAATCCCAAAAAAGCATTTCAGGAACACCCACCAGTGCTCGTTCCAAAGCCAAGTATGTCCCCTGGTGCTCACAGCTGTTCGTGGAGCTGACACACTTGTCAGTCTCACTGCTGCCACGTCCTCCTGGAGTCTGCATCCACTTGGCAGGGCATTAATTACACTTCCACTTGCTGTGGAGAACCCTTTCCAAGGGTGTGTAATTTGAAGTGCTTATGGGGCAGTAAGGAGTCTGGAAGCAGTGACAGCCCTAACTCCAAAAGGTTTTGCAAAGCCTCGGGCTCACAGGGATGCACTTGTGGCCAGGTCTCAGCCAGAAGACTGAGGGTTTTCAGTCTTAGAGTTCAGTGACACAGGACTGTCAGGGTTTGACTGGAAAGTCACTCAAAAGTAGGGAGCCTTTTAAGTGTTCCTAAATGCATTACCTCAGGAAAGGGTTCCACTCATCCATGGTTTTTGGTTATTGGGCACTCTTGCCGACATCTGCCTGGGAGACCTGGGGAGTGCCTGGGGCGTTTTGTTCTGGGATAAAATACTGTCCAACTTCATCAGCTTTCTGGAATTCTTGTTTTTAAACAAAAGAAAGCCACAACAGCTTGTTATTGACCCTCAGACAAGAGCTGTAGGGCTAAGGCCCTGGAACATGAACCTTTCCTTTGTTTGGGAAACACAGATCCATCCCAAGGTCAGTCCCATTAAAGACAGGCATCAAGACTTTCCACAGTCCCATAATATTCTGCTCCACAAGTCTCCTGGATTCCACTAGAATGTGGCCTTGGCTCTAAAGAAGCTAATTAAAAACTAGACACTTCAAGGCAAAAATGTTGGAGTCAATGAATGGATATTTTCCTCCAGTCTTGTTTTACTGAATAACTAAACAGATTTAGCCAAATGTAATTTTGCTATTTGGTTCTTTGGAAGCAGCAGCTTTCTGCCCTGAGTTTTTTACTGCTGTAGTACTCTCCAATTACCTTTAAAAGCAACAGAGTCTTATACTATCAGATCTAGACTTAGTGTGCTTTGGAGCAGAACATTGGCAGCTTGTAAAACAACTTTCCACAGCTGCACACAGAGGGGAGAAAAGTCTGTAGTCTTATTTTCTGTGTAGGTTTGATTTGAGAAGTGCAAGGCCTGGGCTTTTGCAGGCAATCCTGATCAGCAGAATAGCTCCATCAAATTTGCTATTCACTGAAGCAATTTTGAGCAATTCTGAAATAGCTTTAATTGATAATCAAATTGCAGTTCAAGATCCAAGAGCAGAGGAGCAGAGTGAGAGAAAAAAGATAGTCCTTAGTCTGCTGGTTTAACTTCCAGCATGAATACTGCATTCTTCCTGTCTCTTACATACATGGGAGTTATTGAATTAGGTTTACTAATAAATTACTGATTTTTGTTACAAAAAAACCTCCCCAAACAATCTCTTCATTGGGATCATGTCATCCTCAGTCCAGAAATACTTTTTGTTCCAATAGTCTGATTTTGAAAAATGTATTTCCTAGATAATTAAGCAAAGATAATTTCAGTAGCCATGCTCATAAACCCTGGTCTGTGTGGCTCACAGAACTGGCAAGGGCTTGAGCACATCAGCACCCTTTGTGCAAAGGTCTGACACTTTGCATAGTGATGTAGTTATTGAAGGCTATGACCTGTGGTTTATTGTTCTGGAAGAAATAGGTTAGAAATATCTTAAATAACTGCATCTATAGTTATTATAATATTATAGTTATTATAAAACAGTTGTCACTGTTTTATAAGTGTACTATAAGTGTGTACACTCACACTTGCTTTTTTTTCTTTCAAAGTTAACACTTTTTTCGTATTTCTGTTTCTTTTTTGATTCTGTTTCAGATTAAAACTCTTTTTTTTTTAGGCTGAATTTAGAAAACTAAATATGTTTTAAGTTTTTGTTTTCCTACAGAGTATTTCCCCATACTTAAAATAGCACAGGCCCTGCTTATTCCTGTGTAATAATTCATCCTGCCATTTTGAAATAGGTCTCTAGATAGCATTTTGGAGTTGTCACAGATAACATTTTGGAGTTGTCAGAGTTCCATGTGAACGAAGTGGTGTTTCTTGAACCTTTGTCTCCCAGGCTCACGAGGCAACGCTGGAGGCGAGGGCCAGTCCTGAGCTGAGCGAGCGCATGCAGCAGCTGGAGCGGGAGGTAACGCGCTTTCGGGAGGAGTCTGGCAAGGCTCAGGCTGAGGTGGATCGGCTCCTGGAGATCCTGAAAGAGATGGAAAATGAGAAGAACGACAAGGATAAGAAGATAGCAGAGCTGGAAAGGTGAGAATGGTGTAAAGTTAAAAGAGGAGCAAAAAACCTGACGTTAGTATGTTAAAGATCGGTGGTTTTTCTTGTCTTCAAAAACTTAAAATGTCTGTTTAGAGTTTTTCTGTCTTTGGTCCTTTATTGTGCTACATTGTTAGGCAGAGCGTGTCTTACCGTGTTCTTACTTGGCTACTCAAAACTGGGGTGATACAGGTAGAACTAGAAAGGTAGATAGAGTTGTAAGGGAGTGGAGAGGTAGGAAAAGCTGCTGAAATTTTGATGTGTTTGTAAAACAGTTTGTTGTTTTGATACAAGAAATTTCTCAGGCACAGCTTTCACAAGAACAAATAAGAAAAATGCCTTTTCAGAGCTTGTGGTACTATTTACTCAGATTCTTCTGACAGGTGGCCTCGTAACTCTGTACTGGTAGGGGTACAGGAATACTTTGGCCCAGGTGAAGCCTGATGAGCAGATTTGCTTTTGTCCAAGCAAAACTTGATTCATCACTTTTCAGCATTTTCCATCTTTCTTTTGGAGCCAGGAGGCTGAAGACTATAATATCCCTAGAAGAAATTATAATTTATTATGATTCCATGACATTTGTATCACAAATATAAGTAATACATCTTGTGAAAAACCTGAATTAGATTCTGTATTCTGTCATTTTCTCATCTTGGTGGGCCAAGAGCAAATTTCTGGCAGTAATACCTGTTTGGGATTTTTTGTTTACTTTGCCATTCCCAATGGAAAATCACTAACTTGGAACAGCAAAATGGAAATTTGGTTATTCCCATTTGCCTTGTGCCAGAATAGTCTTTTTGTCTTTTCACTACTAACTACTCAGTTTAGTGTCAGGAAGCTTAGGGCAACTAAGTGGAGGACATTTCAGGTTCTGCAATCAGTGGTTGTTTTTCATGGCTTGCTGATTGTCAAATTATGTGCCTCTCTGAATGATTTGAAAAACTCTTTTCTAAGGAGTCCATTCTCTTTTCCTTGATGTGTACAGTTCAGCTTGCCAGCTGGGTTTCTTCTCTCTTTGTGTCTGTAAGCAACATCCTGTTAGTTTTCTTTACGTTCTTTTATTAAACAAAAATTCTTCATACCTATGGCATAAACTCAAACACCCAGGTGTAAGGATATATTCTTTTTGAATGTTTTCCCTTTTTTCCTAAGTGATGCATTGTTCAGCCCATTGTTACATAATATAATCAGCAAAACATTCAGGCAATAGGTTGATACTCTTGAGTGAGTATAGACATGAAAAAGCTACAAGTCACTTGTTTGTGTAATTTTTTTTTTACTCCTGTTGGGATCCCCATCTCAGGTGTGACATTCTCCACGTCATCCTCTATAGGTCAGGCAAGTTGACCAGGAAACATGTACAAGCAGCAAGCTTCTATCAGAACTAAGATAGGGGGAAGAAATATATCATAGTGCCTTAATTGGTTTTTTCCTTTCTGGAGAAGTAACTACTGTTTAGGAAAAGAAAGTCTATGTGCATCATTCCTCAGCCTGATTCCTAGAGGAGATTAAAATGGCAGGAAGAGAATTCTCTTAGGTACACTTTTAATGCAAGCTGACTTTTTTATTACATTAGCATTCAGAAACTAATCATGATTTCACTTGCAGCATCAAAAATTGAGTAGTCACAAGTGTCCTATAAACAAAAAAATTTATAGTCTACAAAGGAAAAATAACAAAGAAAAATTAGGATGGGTCTCCTTCTCTTATTGATGGAAGCAATTGCATCATCTTCAGAGTTAGAAAGCAAGCTTTTTCTTGGAAAAGATGCACTTCTAGACTTCTGCAAAGCAGTTATTGTTTGTCCTGTTACATGGTAGTTTTTTGATGTTTCAGTCTCAGACTAAAGTCTTACTATGAAAGAAATGAACCCCCAAATGACTAGATATCATTCTGTAAGCATTAGTAAATACTTTGAGTATTCAGTTTTATCCATTCCTTCTTACCACCTGATTGTCAGTCTTAAAAAAATTGAGTGCTTCTCTTCTCTTCTTAACGTATCTTTTCTACCAGTACTGAGATAAGATAGAATATGTTTTCTCTTATTTCTAGTAATTAGAATAGGTATTTTGACTATGTAAAACAAAATACTTCTTTTGTTATCATGTGACTGCCAGCAGCAAAATAAATCAAGGGGAGGAGAAAAATCTAAGAATATTCATGTTCTATAACCACTCTAAGTGGAAATAGAAAAAGTCTTCATGATCTAGAGATCTAATTTGGATGCTGTTAGTATGGTGAATTAGCCAAGTATCAGCACCTGAAATGATTTTTCAGGTGGAAATGTAATATAAACGCAGGACTGGAGAAAGAGATAGAAACTTCCAGATACTTTATGGTAAGGTTTTGACTGGTAATTTCTTTTTTTTCTGAATAATTGTTGGAATTCCTATTTGGCCTTAGTTGTTTTCAACTGCTCCTCCAAACGACTCCCTGAAAGCTTGCTTTCTCCTTTTGAGTTTTTGCACAAAGCAGAGATTTTATCGTGCCTGAACCTATATATCCTATATAACAGGCATGTTACATGCATGTTTTAGAGCTAGAAGAATCCTGGTTTCCAGGAAAAAAAATTTATAATTTTGCGTTTTAAAAGTCTTTCCTAAACTGTGGTCTATGCAGAGTGAGCTAGAAATTATCTTGACTTCTGATGCTTGTACAGCTGATCAAGCTGTGCTGTGCAAAGAAGAGCCTTAGTGCCTGCAGAAGCAATTGTCAGCAAGCTAAACAGCAAATATTGCTGTGCCTATCAGGAGCAGTCAGTGTTCCACGTGCAGCAAGATGAGAAGAAAAAAGTTACAGAGAATAATTGCACAAGAAAATGGGATTTTTCAAAAGAGAGTCTCTCTTCCCTGTTTTCCCTTTTGCTAGTTCTGTGTGACAACTAGACCATATACTGTCAGGGAGAAGAAATGGTATCACAGTTTAATCACAGAAGAGATGTGTCACCTGTTAGGGAGGTGTGCACAAGAAATATTAAAAGCAGAAAAATATATTTTAACCTTTTCAATGCAAGCAAAGCTGCCTTGTGCTGAAGGTAACATAGAGAGGGAAATGCTTCCCCTCTTCAGTAGCTGTTGCAGTTACTGACTGGGAGACATTGCTTTTCAGATGAAAGATGTTAAAATAAATGTGTGAGGTATGGTGCATGCTATGCAAAAGTTGAAAAATATTCTAGAGTCAATACAAGGTTGATAGTATGAGTTCATTGGTGTATATACTCTGTGGGGAGCATTTTGCTTTTTCTTGTGGGAAGATGGGCTCTAAGTCCACATTTCTTCTGTGGGTGAACGACCCCATAAGTTTTGTTTCTGTCCCCTATTGCTGTGGTGTAGAGGTTTTGTAGCCGTCTGGTTATTCACTTCCTTTGTAACTAACTGTTTGCTTTTTGTACTGCCATCCCATAACCTCCTGTCTCTCTGTAACTTTTCATTCTGTGTTCTGTTTCCTCCCTTGCCTTTCCCTCCCCCTGGTCCCCTCCCGCTCCCCCGAGTTGTGTTGTTTGTTCTGTTTTGTTCCCTCGGGGGTGTTTGTGACTGTGCCTTTCCTCAGAAAGCACGGCTCCCGCAAATTGCACCCTCCCTACCAGGTGTCGGTCCCCGCACCGCAACACGTAGGGGGGTTTGTGTGGGACTTCCTGGGAAAGTGAGTGCCCTCAAGGCTTCTGTTTCCTCCTCTGGGCTGGAATGTGGCCTCTGCTGCAATGCTGCTGCTTGGGGCTGCTGCAATGCTGCTTCTTTCCTCGGTCAAACAGCACCTGCTTATGTCGCGTGCAAGCGCCGCTTGTGACCACAGTCCAAAGGAAGTTTGCTGCTGTTCTCCCTGATTTAAACTTTACAGAAGCTGTTGCTTTTTTATTCTAATCCTCTTGCTGTATTTTACCTTTGGTTCTGATCTCTAATACCAGTTCTGCCTGAACCAGCTAAAACAATATTCTTCAAGTATTCTAAATATTGACTTCTATTGATAGAAGTCAATATTTATTGGTTTCTCTGGGTCTGGATTGAAGGCACTTGGGATGGTAGTTCATGTTCAGACTCAGGTGTTTATTATTTCTTATCAGTAAAACAGTCTCACAACTGTGAGTTTGGCAGCTTTTCATTAGAAGGCACAAAATGGCTAACAATCTCTTTTTAAAAGATCTTTTAAGACTAAACTGTCCAATTAAGAACTGACACCTAGATTGTGTTCCCTTTTAACCCAATAACTGATCCCAAAGAGCCCACAATGCAGGCTTTTCTGCCCAATTACAGAGTGCCACCCAAACCCATGAAGAAGAAGGAAGAAGAAGCTCAGGACAGCACCCTGTGCCTTCCATCTTGCTTCCATCCACAACATACTAAAAATCCCAAAACCTAAATTTCTCATGAAGTGATACACCTACACTGCTCTCTATAGTCTATTTCGCACTTTTGTGGATTCTAATTTATCTTGAAGTGTAGGAAACTTTCTCCATGAATGAGGGTCAAACTCAGTACTTCCCTGGGGGTCACGACACCCCAGAGCAGACAGAGAAATATTCCTGGTCCTTGGGTCCTCTAATAAGAAAATAAACACACAGAAGGTGATGCACCTTATCTGGGATATGGCCATCAGAACCTTCAGAGTAGTTTATACACAGAATAGTTTATACACTGTCTGTACAGTAGTTCATACACAGCTCTATTGTTGTGCACATATTGTGCAAATAAGAGCTGGCTTTGTACTTGAGAGGTGGCAGGAAGTATATCTGTGTATATTTGTTCAGAAGTGAGCACTGAGTGAATATATATGGAAGTCCTGTTTCCAGTTTCAGGCTTAAAATTGGTTTTCATTTGGCATGCTCACTGTATAGGATAGGTAGTTCTTGCAAGGACACAGGGGTTGTTTTTTTTCCTGAAGGAAACTGCTTTGGGAACAAAGTAGGAGAGTACTCAGCTGTGGAATACCAGCAGTCCTGTTAAGGACAGCTGGAATTAGTGGCTATTTTGAGAAATAGAATTTGGAGAGTTTTCCTG